TTACCACTGCTTCCAGGAGGCTATGTTCTCAGGATTTACAAGTCCTCTGTTCCTCAGCCTTCCTCACTGGCCTCTCCCTCGGCCTGGTACTTGTATGTGGAGTGCCTCAGCTCTCTCCTGAGTCCTTTTTTCTTCCCTCCATAATCCTGGGCTTAGATTTCATCATTATATTTGTGTTTGGGAATCTACTGCTGCATAACAAATGATTCCAAATTAGTAGCTTAAAAATGACAATTTTTTTTGACGGAGTCTTACTCTGTCACACAGGCTGGAGTGTGGTGGCACAATCTCAGCTCACTGCAACTTCCACTTCCTGGGTTCAAGTGATTCGTCTGCCTCAGCCTCCTGAGTAGTTGGAATTACAGGCATGTGCCACCATGCCCAGCTAATTTTTATATTTTTAGTAGAGACAGGGTTTCACTGTGTTGCCCAGGCTGCTCTTGAACTCCTGACCTCAGGTGATCTGCTTGCCTCAGCCTCCTAAAGTGCTAGGATTACAGGTGTGAGCCACCGTGCCCAGACCAAAAACAATAATCATTTTATAACTTTTCATGATCCTCCAGGCTGATGGGAGCTTAGCTGGATAATTCTTCTGCTCTCATTTGGGGTCTCTCTTGCTGCAGTCAGAAGGCCACTGGAGGGCTGGGCGCAGTGGCTCACACTTGTAATCCCAGAACTTTAGGAGGCCAAGATGGGCAGATCACCTGAGGTCAGGAGTTTGGGATCAGCCTGGCCAACATGGGAAAACCCCGTCTCTACTAAAAATAAAAAATTAGTTGGGCATGGTCAAGGGCCTGTAATCCTAGCTACTCAGGAGGCTGAGGCAGGAGAATCGCTTGAACCAGGGAGGTGGAGATTGCAGTGAGCTGAGATTGTACCACTGCACTCCAGCCTGGCAAAGCAAGACTCAGTCTCAAAAAAAAAAAAAAAAAAAAAAAGAGCACCATCGGAGCTAGCTAGAATGCTAACTCACATGACCTGAGCCCCGTTGGGAACACACTGACCACAAGGATGGTTGGACCTTTCTCTCCATGTCCAGGCCTCTCCCTCCAGGTGGTCTCTGCGGCAGAGTAGTTGATTTCTCACATGGGAGATGAGTCCCAAAAGCAAAAAGGTAGAAGCTGTTAAGTCTTTTTAAAATTTAGTCCTAAACCTGGTACAGCCTCGCTTCTGCTGCATTCCACCAGTTAAGAGCAGCCACAGGCCAGCCCCACATTCAGTAAATACCAGGACTCCTGGTTCACTGGGAGCCATCTTTGGAAATTAGCTACCACAGTTTATGAGTCCCAGATTCCTAGGATTACTCTTCCAAGTTTCAGACCCAAATATCCAGTGATCTAAGGAATCTCTCTTCTTGGACATTCCACTGGGCTATTCAGGCTCCTTCATCGCCCCCCAGCCCCTCCTCTTGCTCTGCCACTGTTTCCAGCTAAGTGTTAACATCATCTTCATGCAGGGATTCAAGTCAGACACTTAGCATTCACAGTTGGGTCCTCCCACACTTCGGTCCCACATTCCATTTCTTAAATATCTTTGGACTTACTCGTCTCCATCTCTGCTGCTGATACTCCAATAATCATGGCTAAGACTGGTGAGTGGTTTCCATGTGTGTAAACACTTAGGATGCATTCCATTTGGGCTTATCTGCTTATTTTGCAGATGAGGAACCTGAGGCTGGTAGGGGTTGGATAATCTGCCCAAAGTCTCACCCTATTCAAGAGTGGGGAGAACCAAGAGGCCTTAGGCTCTGTAGACAGACAGATAGCCCTGCCTTCGGGGACTTTGTGCCAAGCCGGTGCCCAATAGCCACTCAGTGTAGACCACTGTCATCTCTCAGTTGGCCTTTCATAGCAGTCTCCCAACTGGCATTCCTGCCTCCAACCTGGCCCCATTAATCCATCTGCCATGCTGCAGTCAGAGGTATCTTTCTAGAATACCAAGAATATCTTGGTCTTCTCTGCTGAAGCCTTTCAATGGTTTCTGTTGAGAAAATCTAACTTTTTCCAATACATAATTAAGACCTTCACAAATTGGCCCGTCAGCTTGACAGCATCGCCTGGGGAAGTAGTTCTTTGCAGGACCATTTTGGAAATGTCGTTGTCCATCTATCACAATTATAAGAATATGCTACTGGCATTTGATGGGCAGTGGTCAGAGATACCGGAGTGCTGCAATACAAGGGACACCCAACCAAGAATCATCCTTGGGTTTGAGATGACTCTTTTTTTAACTTTTTTTCCAGAGTCTTGCTCTGTCGCCCAGGCTATAGTGCAGTGGCACAATCATGGCTCACTGCAACCTCTGCCTCCTGGGTTTAAGCAATTCTCCTGCCTCGGCCTTCTGAGTAGCTGGAAGTATAGGTGCCCACCACCATGTCCAGCTAATTTTTGTTTTTCATATATATATATATATATATATATATATA